CGTACGTACGTACGTACGTACGTACGTACGTACGTACGTACGTACGTACGTACGTACGTACGTACGTACGTACGTACGTACGTACGTACGTACGTACGTACGTACGTACGTACGTACGTACGTACGTACGTACGTACGTACGTACGTACGTACGTACGTACGTACGTACGTACGTACGTACGTACGTACGTACGTACGTACGTACGTACGTACGTACGTACGTACGTACGTACGTACGTACGTACGTACGTACGTACGTACGTACGTACGTACGTACGTACGTACGTACGTACGTACGTACGTACGTACTACTACTACTCTCTCTCTCTCTCTCTCTCTCTCTCTCTCTCTCTCTCTCTCTCTCTCTCTCTCTCTCTCTCTCTCTCTCTCTCTCTCTCTCTCTCTCTCTCTCCTCACCGCCCGATGACGGCTCGAGTTCGGATTATAATTACGGAGGCGGACCGAGTTGACGTCATTGCGCTTCGTTAATGTCGGATCCTGGTACGGAGCCAAGGACGGCCGTTTCCTTATCAATGCCTCGCGAGAACACGTGGATCTGGCGGCTCGCAATAAAAGGTCGATACACGGCGCAACCGCGTAGATTGCAAAATGGAATGCCATTGTTTTAAACTGACGGTTGCGGCTTACAACGTGTGCGAAAGGGAGAGACAGGCGTCAATTTATATATGTGTCGGCGAACGATCGAAACTGACATTAGAAAGTATCGTGCATACATTTTAATGCGTATAAACGAATCCATTTACCGCGATAAATTCATTCGCTCGTTCATATTCTGTCACGTTAAATCCGCGACAAAAATCATCGCCAGTTATGCAAATGATTCATCTCAAACTTTCGTTGAGAGCAAAAAAAATTCAACATTTTCTGCTAACAAGAAGAATCGCTGAGAAAAACCGCTTTTCTTATAATCTTGCATGCACAAGCCGCATTAAATTGAACTTTCATCAATTATCTCAAATATAATGTAATAAGTTGCACAGTACGCTATATACACACAAGTACTATTTATCTTTCCAACAAACGTCTCATCGTAGAAATTGTTTCTCACTAGAAACTAAGAAGAAATTAAATTTCCAACATCAGCCTACGTCGACAGATTTAGAAATGTGGAACAGGCGCTACTTGAAATTTCGTTTGTGCGTTATTTGAAGAACTCACCTGCGTGAAATCGGCGCCGATGAAAGCCTGCTCCATGCCGATCCATACCGTAATAGGTATCAGCAGTTGTTGGTAAGGCTTCTTCAGCTGGTAAGCTGTAGCAGAGAGCAATTGGATGCCACTCAATTCTTGGCTATCCGATCGTCGTTGCTTCTCGCCGTACCTGGAAGACAATTAAGAACTCTGTGAATACTCGCGCGTCCCCTTGAGAAGACAGTTAAAATATAATCGCTCCGCGTTTTATATACTTATTTATTATTGAATGCGATGAGTTTCCACAGCGTGGAAACGTTAGACGCAAACGTATAGAAATAAAAGTGTGCGTAGTAATCGGTCAAATTCTAGGAAGACAAAATTGCGACTGTCGAGCGATTTATCTAATAATAATACGTTTCAGCCATAATGGAGGAATTCTAATTCACTCACTTTTCCGCTGTCAAGAGAATCCGTGCAATTTCAGTAATTCAATCAATTTTAGATAAATAATACAACACGTAGTATTTGTGTCTGACTTCTCTCTCTTTCAAAATATAAAATTATTCGATTAATTTATTTCGAGATGACAATGCTACCTATGTATGGTATTATTACAGTAATCTGCGTGGTTATATTTTATTTGTCGAATATAATTTTGTACGATCTATCGCGTTATGCGACATAAGTCAAGAGTTAGACGAACAAAAACGCGGGAAACACGAATGGACAATGATGATCAGCTGCCGCTTAGAACGTGTGATTTTCCGGCAGACTTTTGCGCCGTTATTCGCAAAGAGGAAGAGCACGCTCACTTGGATGGGGATTAATGACGACCGCGATTAATTATCATCGCGATTGTACCATCCATGTACTTATTCATCGTCCGTGCAGCGCGAGCCACGCGGAAACGGATTGCGCAATTAGCAAACTTCCACTGGTGTACACTACTATTGAACGGTGCCGTCGTAATGTCCAAGCCGTATTCATTCATCGTTTCGTGTCACGATTAGGTGGATGATATACCGGGCAACATATGATTCGATTCACGTGCATCATCCGTGATAAATCGCCGACTGAACCGAATAATATTTGTCTTATTTAATACAGAGTCTGATTATTTTGTTGCGATATGCAACAAATGTAAAATATAAAGTAAAATATAAGAATGATATTTAATATTTTATAAATCACGAAAAGAACAATTTTGCTAAAGCATCTAAAAACTTGGTTGGATAAAAACTTGAAAATAACTTTATTGAATCATCAAAATTATTTTATAGAGCGCTTAAACATGATTATAATACTGCAAAAAATGTTTTAATGTAAAACAATATAAAGAGTAATATTTAGTATTCTTTTATAAATTATATAAAAAAAATGGTTTTGTTAAAGCATTTAAAAATTTGATTAAATAAAAACCTGAAAATAATCTTCTTGGATCAAAATTATTTTATAGAATACTTAAGCATGATAATATGCAAAAATTTTTTATATTTTGGCAGATTTTAAATGTTTTATATAATTACTTTTATAACCCAACAAAATTATTTTCAGATTTGTATTTAACTAAATTTTTAGATACTTCAATAAAACTTATTTTTGTCTACGAAAATTATTATTTAATTCGTTTTATTTTTTCTGACATCTTTTTCTTATCCTGTTATACACTTAATTTTGGTAACATATGTTTTCTATTCAACAATTCTATTTTTTCAAAAAAAATTATATATTGTAAAATTCTATTTAATTAATAAAAGAATTTAATTTAAGTACAAATATATGTATGTTATGTGTTTGCTCATTTTTTTCTTTGTTGATGTGATAACGAAGATAAAAAATTCAAACATTACATTGCATTTTTACGTTGGTCAAAGTGCTAATCTTTAGTAACATCGCAGTCTGGAAGATTTACACGCTGTAAAAGTCGCACACGGAACGGTACTTTGGTCAATAAAAATTTCGAAATTACACTACACAGTTGAAATTTACTTTCATATAACGTTTTTGTAACAAAATTATTTAACGTTAGTAGCAAAACCTAACGTGAAAAAAATTAAAAAATCAAATTTATTCATACGGTCTCTTGCGTGACATTTTCGTGGTTTCTCGACTTTCTATCCATGACATTATAGAATAATAATTAAAATTTAAAGCATCTAAATTTGATTTAAAACATATCTAAAGAGCACTAAATTGGATTTTATTGTGGCAAATATCCGGAGATACAATGAGATTTTACAGGCTCGTGTTGTATATCACGGAATTAACGGGCGTCGCAGGAATGAGAGTCCCTATCGCATGGCAATATCCGAGGAACATAAGCCTGATGCTAAATTTAGCCGACGAATCAGGTGGATGTAACCCACCCCGAGAATTCGCGAGAAGTTAGGGCCCAGGACGGGCGCAACGGCGGCGATACAGTGAATTTGCGAAATAAATCTCTCGACGCCGCTAAACGCTGGGCATACGCTCGACAGCTCGACGGCAAATGTTCTTCACCCCGGGGGACGGCATTCCTGAGAACACGTTTGCTGGATTTCTGGGCCCGGCCGAAGCCACCATCGGCAGCCACGGCGAGCGTGCAAATCGACACTTGCGCAAAAACACGTATCTATTCAGACGGAAGGAGACGTCGAGAAGATGTGGGACGGCGATCTTTAGCGTGATCCTCGGCTGCGTATCTTTCGCGGCGATCTACACGATTGCTCTATATTGCTTTCGAAATTGCGTATTGTCATTAATCGCGCCTATTGCGATATTGATAGACCGACGAGCGATCGTGACAGGTGACGGGAAGATCGTTCGCGTCGTCCTCTCACGGAGTCGGCTGAAGATGGATTATTACTGTACCCGCCATATTTTTTTCGTACGCTGATCTCTTCGTGGTTCGCCACAAACGATATGTTTCCGCGTGCAAATAATCGATCAAAATAAAGGAAAATCATCATATATTTGCGCACAAACATCTCGTTAGCCAAAAGCGATTAATATATGATAGCAATTAAATTATGCATCTCTCAGATTCCGGAATTCGTATATATTTCCGAGAAAATTTTTCCAACGATGAAGTTACCTAGTTAATGATTATTTAATTAAAGAGAGGTACCTTCTTGCAATTTCCGCAAGAAAATTCTACGTTAGATCGATTTTCACTCGCTGCATTTAAACCTTACAATGCCGATCATTAATTAATAATTATCTAATCTTTTTCAAAATTCTAGGTTATAATAATAAATTTAGAATAAAATTGATTCTTATTTCATTTAATAATAATCTCTAAAGCAAATAAAGCCATCCGAAATTATTTATCTATTTTCTCTTCCACGGATGGTATTGTAAGAATAAATTATATAAAAAGACAATTATGGCCTGTTGTTTTATGAAACTATCGAGTTCGACTCAGGATTGTCTCGCTTCTCATTGTCATTAGACGAAAAGAACTTTCGCAATAATTCAGTGGTAACTATTTCCGCATAGACTCGCAGCACGCGCGCATTTTTCTCGATTATCACGTGTAGGAACAACGCGAGAATGCGATTACGTCGTTCGCCATCGCGGAAAGTCGGTTTCACTCGTAACTCACAACTTTTGTCCGTTCACGCGATACGTCGTTCGAAAATCATAGCCTCTCTCCTCGACGGCCGAACGGAGAGAACAGAGCGAATTAGTTCACGTCGCATGTGCATTATACACACCTTGTGAACCGCGTGAGCGGATTTATATACACACGAGTTGCCGCGTGTTAATCCAGATACATAATTCAGAAACACCGATTCAATAGAATCCAATACGGCCAGTCTTGACGGCTTTCCTCGATCGGGAATATAAGAAAGTTATAATTTTATGTTGTCATTATTATTATTATTTCTCGTTATCTATTTCTCTCTCGTGTTTGTTGATGCTGCTCAAATCTTTGTAACCGGTAAAAACATTTACATTATTCTGTGGCCCAAGCGTTTCCTTTCGCCTCCTTTAATACCGGAGCTACGTCTTTCAACAAGCTGCGCTTTCCAACGTACGTGGATCAGACCTGAACCGTTACAGCACAGCCTTGGAAGCAATGCGAGTGGCAGATAGCGGCAACGGAGACGTCCCGACTGCGATCTGCATACGGATCTAATACACTCGCCGCTTACATAACACTCCCCGTGTTGTACAGACATCACGGACGATGCTGTCATTAAGACGAATGACGGTGGGACGAAAGAGAGCGAGAGATCGACGACGTTCACCCACAACGCGGCCAGACCTTTCAATACTTTATGAACAATACATCCCGAAGAGAAAGCTCAACCAACAATCTTGCTTGCCAAATTGAAACTTATTACATCAGTTTCGAGTTTCTTCTCCTTCTCCGCGTTGCTTTGATTAATTAAAAAATTTTTTAAAGCTATATGTTATCAATTATTATCAATTATTATTGAATATTTATCTGATCGTGAACTTATAAGCTATGCAAAAAAATGAAATTACAAAGAATCATAGTAATAAGCTTAGTAATAATTATTACGTTTATTATTACTCAATTTGTAACGCATGTAAGATTAAATTGATTTCCCAGGAGAAAATGTACTCAATTTATATATTTAACTCAATATATATATATATATATATATATATATATATTATACTTATATTTATCAATTTCGATAATTTATAACCGCTGTGGTCTCGTTTTGCGGTTTGCCTTCTTCGACAACGGAGCAAACGTTATGCAGGTCAGGATTGTCTTTCTTCTAATGATGTCGCCTGCTGAGTTGCAATGATGTAGTCACATTTGCTGCTGTGCGTTACCAGACTGACAACTATAATCACCAAACAGGTTCGCTCGGAACTATCAACATATCAATGATGCATTTCATATTTAGAGGAAATAAAGAGCACACATGTTTTAATCATAAGTTTTAATCATTCGTCCGTTCTAATCATATTCATACTTCAAGAATAAATAAACAATTAATTTTTTATTTCTCTACATAATCTCGAGAATGTAAAGTAAAATAAAAACATTTTAATCTTTTAGATATCAATCTAATTTCAAAAAATTTCATTAAATGTTTTTTAAACAAAACACTTTAGTTTGTAAAATAATCAATTATTTATGTATATCATTACAATTATAAAATTTAAAAATAAAAAATTTCATTTTATTCACTATGAAAAACATTAAAAATTTTTACGTTTCTT